AGTTGCAAGAATTTTTGCTTTATTTAATATTTTATAAGTTTTTTTTTTTTGAAATTTAAGTGGTATTATTTACTTATTTAGTTCTCTCAAATTAAAAAAAAAAAAAGAGTTAAATAAACTTCTCAAATTTATAAAAATTAACAGATAAAGAATAATAAAATGCATGAGTATATTTTCTGAAATTCAATGAAATTTAGGAAAAGAAAAAAGTAACAAATTTATGAAGCAGCTTATTTCCTTTCATAATTACTATCAATATTGAATGTAATTATGCAAATTTTACAAATTATTCCAAAAAAAAAAAAAATAGCGAAAAATTTGGCATAATAAAATGCTGCAATTTTAAAAATTACGTCTAAAATATTTTTAAAAGAATAAAATGAAATAAAAATATTATTTTGAAAACTTTTAAACAATCCTTTTCTCTCTTATCTCTCTTTTTTTTTTTCTTTCTAACTTACTAATGATAAAATATGCTATCGAAATTTTTGTGCAAAAGCATCTGTTGTTATAATTGAAAAAAAAAAAAAAATTAGAAAGAGAAAATGAAATGAGAAAAGATTTTTTTTTTCTTTTCTTTCCTTTTTTTTTTCTATTCTTTGTTAAATTCATTAATTTTATGTTAGAAATGATATTTTTTCTTTTTTAATTGGGAAATGAATTATTTAGCAGAAATATTTTTTTCAATCTTTTATAAATTATTTATGTTCTATTATAATATTAAAGTAATGAACGATGCTATTTTGTTATTCATTTTTTTTTTTTTTTTAAAGAAAAAATTAAAATAAATTAAAACAAAGAAATGAGAAATTAAAAAAAATGAGAGGAAATTAAGGTGTGATTTTTTTTTTCTTTTTTTAATTATGAATTTGATTTTAATAAACAATAATTTATTGAAATGTTTAGTGTTAAAGAAAACGAAAAAAAAAAAAAAAAATGTTTGATTTAGATTGTCTACCATTCTAATTATTCATTTCTGCTATGCAATTTTAATTTTTAATTTTTAATTAATTAAAATTGAAAAAAATATTTATCATTTGTGTTATTTTTTCTTTAATTTATTCTGAAAAAAAAAATCACATCCAATAATTTTTTTTTATATTTTCCAAAAATATTTCATTCTTCGATAGAAAGATAAAAAAAAAAAATCAAAAAATTCATTGCATAATATTAAATTTGAATATAATAATTCAATTTTCTTATAAATTTGATGCAAAATTTAGTGATTTAGAAATATAAATTTGCAAAAAATTACTATTAAATATATTATAGCAAATTTCATACTTTAATAATTCTAAATTAATTTTGCTATCGAATATTTAATTTGAATTGATTATATTTAAACATGTAAAAACATTTAATTTTATTGGCATATTTCATTTTAATAATTCATTTCAAACAACTAACAACTTTCTTTTATATTTCAAAAAAAAAAATGATAGAATTGAAAAAAATATACAAAAAAAGAAAGGTATTTGAAAATTTTTTTATCATATCTAATGCATTTTAAAGTCAATAATTAAAAAATGTAAGTAAAAAATTCATTAAATTTATAAACAAATGCAAAAATATTATAATTATAAACGAAAAAAAAAAGGAAATAGAAATAAGATATAAAGAAATAAATATAAATAATTATGTAGTAATTTTTTTTTTTTTTATTTTAGTAAATTAATACTAATAAAATTATCAAATTTTGTTAGTAGTTTCTTCATCATTTAATTAAATAAAAATTAAAAATCATCAAATATGCAACTTATTAATATTATCCGAATAATTTAAATAATTTTACGTTAATATTTAAACATTAAATAATTTTTAAATTGTATCAAATGATAAATGCAATACCATTTCACCCTGTTTTTCTCTTTTTTTTTTTTTTTTTTTCAACAATTCTTTCTTCTTTTCATTTATATAAGAAATATTAAAAAAAACGAATTATTTAAATTTAAATTGAATTGATTATCAACATTTTTTGCTATCGAATGCAAATTTTTTAATTCAAAAAAGAAAAAGTCAAATTTATATTTATACAAATTTTTGAAAAAAAAAACTAATATTTAACTTTCAATTTCGATTAGATGATATTAAAATATAAATAAAATTAATTATGGATTGTTTAAAGGATGAATTTAAACAAGAATTAATAAAAATATATATAAATAAAAATTAATTTAATGAAAAAGATGAATTTATTTCGGCAGGTGTATTAACTTTAATAATCATATCTTATTTCACCTGTATATTAATTTAAAGTAAAAAAATTTTTATTACTTTTTGCATATTTTAGCATAACTTAATTAGCACCGAAAAATTTTTTAAAAGCTACAAATTTCTATCTAAATATCTAAATATATTCAGTCAAAAAATTCATTAATCTTTTTTTTTTTTTTTTCAAAAAATTTCAGAGTATCGTTTCTTTGATTTTTCTTCATCGCCCTTTGACCCTATTTTTGTCTCTTTTTCTTCATTTATTTTTTAACTATTTAAAAAAAAAAAAAAAAAAACGGATACTTTCTAAAAGTTAAACAATGCATGTTATGTCAATATCCATTAGTTGAATGATTTTATAATTAAATGAAAAAAAAAAAATTTGATTTCTGTTTGAAAGAAAAAATAAAATTAATTTTCTTTTTTTTCTTCAATTTCTAATCATTTTTTTAAACAATTATAAAAAACCTGAAAAGAAATAAATAATTGTGGTTTGTTTCTTTTTAAAATTTTTTTTTTTTTAAATTAACTTATATATCAAATAAAATAGCATTATCACCTAGAAATGATAATTTTTTTAATAGCTATATTTAATTTTTAATTTCTTTTCATATTTTATAATTAATATTTTTTCTCCTTTCTTGTTTTTTTGGTGTAAATTATATTTAGATTAATTTAGGAATAATTTAATAAAATTGTATTAACTGAATGAAATAACTTTTTTCATTGATAATATTTATCAAATATAACACAAAAATTTTTTAGTATAAATTAAGGCTATAAAAAAGGCAAAAATTATTCTTGAAATTAATTTCAGGATTTTAATTTAAAATAATTTATGAACAAAGCAACAAAAGTTTTATCCATTTTCGAACTATTTAAGATATTAAATATTCAAGTTTTAGCAAAAAAAACCTGTTTACCAAACATCAAAATTCTTCATTAATGATTTCTTCATCAATTTTTCATTAAAATTCAAATTGCCTATTAAAAAAAAAAAAAAATTTAATCAAAATTGTTAAAGTTAGCAATTGATGTGAATTTCCTTTTTTTTTTTTAAAAAAAAATATTGATAAAATGTGAAGATGTGAAGTTATCATTTTCTTAAATTATTGATAAAACGAAAAAAATTAATGTTGGTAATAAAAAAAAAAAAAAAGAAATTTAGCATTATTTCATTTTTTCATTAATGATTATATTTGAATTTAATTTATTATCAGTTTGAATTAATTATCATAAATAATTTGAAAGTGATCTTGAGTTGTTAATAATGCTATGATAAATTTTATGATAAAAAATCAAACAATATCAATAGAAATTTTAAAATTTATCACCATTATTATATTATTGAAATATTTACAATATTTTATGACTTATTATTATTGTTATTATTATTATCATTATCACTATCATTATCATTATCATTATTATTGTTATTAATGTACATTTGAATAATACTTTTCCGGAAACCGAGTAAGCAGTTTATAAGTACAATAATATATTCTTTCCTAAAAATTCAAAAACATATTTAATATGTAAGCGAAGATCGAACAATTTATTCCCTTTTTTTTTTTTAAATTTTCTTTTTTTTTTCATTTATGATTATTGATTTTTAATTTGTTCATAATAAAAGTTTAAATCATTGCTAATTTTTCATTAATCATTTCATGTTTACCCTTGAAATTTTATAAATACTTTATAAAAATATAACAATAATACAGTAAATGATTATCATTAATAAAATATAATTTTTAAAATTATTTTCTAATTCATAAAGAAGGAGGGAGAGAGAGAGAGAGAGAGAGAGAGAGAGAGAGAGAAGATTCAGAGGAGGAAAAATGAGTGAGATAATTTATTTTAAAAAAGTAAATAAAAAAACTACAAACACTTATAAATAAGTTTGAAATATTTTAATTGAATGAAATAAATATATGATTAAATAAAATTTAATTTATTTTTAAATTAGTTTATAATTTTCACTAAATTGTCTGATCGGTGATTCCTTGTGTGTCACTATGATAAATAGGTCCGTTTGTCATTATATAATCGTTCCGCGTCATTCATTTACTATTTTAGTTTATGATTTCGCTCAAATGACAATTTGGAAAAATTTTTCATTTTAATCAATCTTTGATCAATAATTAACAATTATTCTTAATGAGTTATTTGATCTTACTTTTTTTTTTTTAATTTAATTTTTTATTTTTAAAAAAAAAGAAATTATAGGTTTTTTTTTTTTTTTTTTTTTTTTTTTTTTTTTTTCTTATAATATTTCCTCCAAATAAATTTTTTAAAATCAATTTTTTGCATGCATTTAGGTTAAAACAAAAATTTTGATTAAACGATGAAAATTAATTAATTTAATCTAAATTTATTATTGTATTAAAAAAAATAAATTTTTGTCTTTTGCAATTTTTGATTAAGTAATTTTATCATTAAAATGTTGATATCACTGATAAAAGATAATTGAAAAAAAAAAGAAATAAACACTTTTTTTTTTGTCTTTCATTGATGCAAAATAAATATTTGTAATTATAATTTGATTAATTGTAATTACAATTTGAATTTTAAATATTTATAATTATAATTTGATTGAATTCCTATTATGCTAAAAAAATAAAAATTAATTACATCAATTATTCCGTTTTTATTTATTTTTTATTTTTTTCTTAAATTATTTTTTTAAAATTTCATTTAAATTTTCTGATTCTAACTTCTTTTTTTTTTTTTTAGAACTTAATTATACGATGTTTGCATTACCATTGTCAATTCATTCAATTATTTCAATAATGTTTTATTTGGTTGGTATAATAATTAGTATACGAATATGGCATTTATTTCCAAAAAGAGTAAGTAAAAATAAAAATTTATTTTTTTCTTTAATAAAATTTTTATATATATAAAAAAAAATTTTTTTTTTTACTAATTTAATTTTGTAAAAATTCAAAATTTTATTTATTTATAAATTAAATATTTTAGAAAATGTTGAAACAATTTTCTTTTCATTTTTTTTTTTTTTTTTCAGCCAATAGTAAAAGTTCATGGTGGTAAGAACAACGAAGCAATCAATGATTTTAAAGCATTGCTAGCATAACAGAGAAACGTATGGATATGACGTGATGTGACGTGATATGACGTGATATGACGTGATGATGTACAAATGAAAGAAAGAAAAACGAAAGAAATGAATTAAATTAATCGATTTTACATGACGTTAACGTATGCTTGTCTCTCTTTTTTAATTTTATGTGCTTTAGTCGAAATTTATTTTGAAATTATTTAGATTTGAAAAAAATGAAAAAAAAAAATTATTTCAATAAATCATATTATATTAAATGTTTATTTTAAGTTATCAATTAAATGTTTATTTTAAGTCATCAATTAAATGTTTATTTTAAGTTATCAATTAAATGTTTATTTTAAGTTATCAATTAAATGTTTATTTTAAGTTATCAATTAAATGTTTATTTTAAGTTATCAATTAAATGTTTATTTTAAGTTATCAATTAAATGTTTATTTTAAGTTATCAATTAAATGTTTATTTTAAGTTATCAATTACTGATTTACTTATTATTTAATGCTATTAAATAATAAATCTTTTATAATATTTAATAAATAATAACAAATTGCTTCTTGCATTTGTCTCTTTTTCTTCTTTTTTCTTTATTTTCTTATCAGTTGATAATAATTCAGTAATTTAAATACATTAAATACTTATTTTAAGTTATCAATTACTGATTTATTATTCATTTAATATTGAATCTTTTATAACATTTAATAAATAATTGATAATGAATTGCTTTTTTTTTTTTTCATTTTCCTCTCAGTTGATAATGATTCTGTGATTAACAGATTAACAGCAAAATGATAATGATAAATTGTTATTTTTATCAAACTGATTTCTGCTCAACGTTTTATTCTGAGATTTCACATTCTGAAAAAGATAATAAATTAGTTTAAGTTTTTGTTAATTAAATTTAAATTAATTTTCGAAAGAAATAAATAACAATGCATTCATATTTTTTTTTTTTACATTATCAACTTTTCTTAAACAATTTTTTCTTTTTTTTTTTGAATTCAAGATTGATTAGTATTTTTACAACTTAATTAATTATCTTAAGAGGACAAAAATTTAAATGCTTAAAAAGTTATATTTATTTTTGAAAAATTTTGAATTAATTTAATAAATAATTTTCAAATTCAAATCATAAACTTAAGAAGTTTAAAATAATGAAACAGTTTCAAATCATTTTTCAGCAAATCTTAAACTTTTTCCAAAAATCAATAAACAATTTTTTTTTTTTTTTATTTTCTGCAAAATTTAAACAAACATTTTCTGATAATTTTTTCATTTTCAAATACATCTGCGTTTATATCAATTTAACAGTTTTAGACAAAACAAAACTGAAATATTTTAAGTTTTTAATCGAAAATAATGTTTTGTATTAAATAACTATTTCAGTTATTACTTTCCGGAAAATCATAGAATTTTCTCACTAATATTTTGCTTCACCTTAAGTGCACCGGAAATAATTTTTTCCGGATTTTGGTTTATTACTTTAACAATTTAGCAGCACTAACATTTTTTGATGTTATTGAGAGCAGCAGCAACTGCTAAACAGTTTTAATTTTATGCAAATAAAATTTAAACAAATAAATTTTAAATTTAAATTCTTTGCAACCCAATAAACTTACTAAAAAAAAAAGATAAATTATTAGATAAATGATAAATAATTAATTAATTGATAAAAGTTAAAATGAAATAAAATCATTGAATGCTTCAAACAATGCTTAAAAAGAAACAATAAAATTTGCATTTAATCTAAATTCCAAAAATACATTCCAACGAAGCTTTTCTTTAATTTTTCTTGCTAAATTTAATTTATGAAATTAATATTTAACAAAAAAATTTCTAATTAAATTTATTTTTCGATTTAAAATTACATCAAAAAATATTTCCAAAAATAGCTCTAATTAATCTCATTTGTTTATTTTCTTTTTAAAATATTATTTGTATTAGTTATTATAATGTAAGCATACTTAATTTTATATCTAATTTAGGAAGTAACTTACTTCTAATTAAAATTTTGTTTACTTTTTTTTCAAATTTTTTTTTTTGTTTATCGGAATATATGTAAATAACTGCAATTTTGAAATTCAATTACTTTAACTTTGAAGTGTAGAACATGCGAAATTTAAAAAAAAAAAACAATTTATTGAAAGTTTTATTTTAAGAATAATTTAAAACTGTCATTTTCTTCATCAATAAATTATTCTAATCTAAATTTCAACAGCAGAAAAAAAAGAAAATTAATTCAAACAATTTTTTTTTTCTTTTTTTTTTTACATAAGAATAAAATTTAATTTTGTATGAACATTGTTTGCTAAATAAATTAAAAGATTAAAAATGCAAACACAACTTTAATAATTATAAATTGAAAAAAAAAAAAAAAAACAAACTCGTCGAAAAATTTCAAAAAATAATTTGAAAATAAATTTTTAACCAATATAATTTTGATAATTTCATTTTATTTTATGCATTACATAGCAGTTAAATTAAATTCATTTAATATCATGCAAAAATAAAGATTTTTTTCTCATCAAAATTTTATTACAAAATTTTACATTCTGTACAAATATTTTCCGAAAAAAAAAAAAAATAAAACCAAAAACAAAGTTTTTCTTTTTTTTTATTATTTTTATTAAATTTGAAATTGGTAAAAAAACGAAATGAAATTTAATAAATTGCTAAAAATTTATTAAATTCTCCTCATAAATTGTGGTTCATTGTTACGTTTTAATATTGCTTCAACACGTGCACGATTAGCTTCAAACGTGGAATTCACGGTTTCAACGTTACTTTCGTCATTGAATTCAGTCATAGGTAACGTTGATTGTTTAACAAATTGTGAATTAACAATTGATGGAATTTGATTATATCGCTCCAACAAACGTCTATAATTAATTGCTATCATTAAAAAAAAAATAAAAAATAAAATATATTTAAAATTTTTTTCTTTTTTTACAAAAAAGAAAAAAAAATAATTAAACTAACTGTCTTTCTTGATTTCGATTAAATATATTGTCTTTATCACCATTTTTTAATTTTTCTTTTTGCCTATAATATTAATTACTAATTAAAATTAAAATTACTATATTTTTTTTATCACTTATCACTGATAATCAATTCATCGTTTCTTGTTTTTTTTTTTTTTTTGTTAAAATTCATCTTTATTCATAAATTTTTAGCAATTCTTATTAATAAAATTATTTATTTACCTGTGCAAATAAAATTATTTAATTACTTGTGTAAAAAAAAAAAAAATTATACTTACTTGTTTGTTTAATTACTTGTAATTACTTATATTAATAAAAAAATTTAATTACTTTTATTAATTAATAAAATTATTTAATTACTTGAATTAAATAAAGTTATAATCACTTGTTTACATTGATCTATTCATCTTTTCACACTGCATATGATACATAATTAAAATTTATGAATTTAAATTACAACTTAAAATTTTCATTTTTCAAGCATAAATATATATGTATTCGAAATTAAAATTTTTTTCTTTTAATTTTTAAAATTTCAAATGATTAACCTTTTGTAAAAGATAATATTTGCAGCAATCCAAATAATTGATGCTAAGGCATATGCCGGAAGTATTACTCCAATTATCCACAAACAACGTTTATGTATTTCATTTCTTTTTAACTAAAAAATAATTCTCAAAAAAATTAGTAAAAATATCACAGAGATCTATAAAAATATTAAATTATGTTAAAATATTTTTTAAAAAAATTTAAAAAATAATAATGAAAAAGAACAAAAAAAAAAAAAGTTTACATAAATTATTCTAAATTATCTTTAATTAATAATAAAAAATAACTTCAAAATATAGATTACTTCAAATTATCACAAACTTACAAATATAAATTACTCCAAAATTAATTGAATTTCAAATTTAAAAAAAAAAAAATAATAAAAAGAAGCAAAAAGAAAATTGTAGAAAATGTAGATAATTAAAAATTATCAATTATCACCTCATTTTGTTGTAACATATTGGTACGTTCTTTAATCATTTCCATTAATGAATTAAGTTTTTCACCTTTAAGATCAAAATATTCTGGGATACGAAAATTAATTGCATTACTGAAAATAATTAATTTTGATTGAAAAAAAAAAAAAGAAAAAAGAAAAAGTACTGATAATCGTATCATTGATAATAGTTTTATAATAATAAACAAATACTAAAAATAATTATTAAAATACTAAGTAACACTAAAATAAATAAAAAAATTAAAAATTATTATAAATGTAATTAAAATTAACTTTTTTCTTCTAATTTATTTAAGATTTCAAGCAAAATAAAATATCATATGTCGTTTTTTTTTTTCTTTTTTTTTGCTATTTTATTAAAAATTTATTATCGTTTTTCAATTAAACCAAATATTTAAAATTTTTGATTTAATTATATCTAATTTAATTCTTGTTTGAATTATTTAATATATTTCAATAATTTCTAAAACAAACTAATAATGAAATGAAAACTAATTGAGAAGTCAAAAATTATGCAAAAAAATTTTCAAATTAAATTTATAATTAAAAAGAAATTATTTTTATTCTCTTTGTTCTTTGCTCACTTATTTGGTAAATATAATAGTTAGAGAATATTGAATTAAAATTATATTAAATCTAACTTAAATAAATTAAATCTTAAAATTAATTTAAATCTTAAATTTAATAGAATTATTATTTTATAACTATTAAATTAAATATAATATAATCATAATGGTAATAATAATGATAAAATAATCTAATCATAACTATAAATATAGCTATAATATTACCATGATAGCAATAATAGTTATAAAATAATAATTCTAGTGATAACTGTAAATATAACTATAATACAAATCATAATAATAATAGTACTAATAATAGTGATAAAATTATAGTACCAATCATAACCATAAATATAACTATAGTAAAGTCATGATGGTAATAATACCAATTATGGGATAAAATAATAATTATAATCCAAACTATGTAACTTTAATGCAATCATAATATTAATAATAGTGATAAG